ATGCAAATGAGGATTGGGTGTTTAAGAAATCAAATTCTCAAGAAGAATTGATTCTTGATTTTGCGTATTGCGTAAAGACAGTTAATTCAGATATAATGATTGGATTCAATAATGATGGACTGAACAGTTTGACATATTAAGAGAATTTGTTAATGTGATGGAGGGAAAAAAATTTAGTGGAAGTTCTCTTGAGGATGCGAAGTTCAATATTCACAAAAAACGCATCAAAATTACATCTCAGGATAGCGTGAAGGTGATGTATTTCAGAAAACCAGGGGTTTTGATGATAGATGTGATGGTGTCATGTAGAAAGAGATATCCCAATTCTGAGAAAAATTCACTCTCATATTTTTTAGAGATAGCAAATCTTGAGGGAAAAATGGATCTTTCTTATTTGATTTTGAGGAAATATTATCATGACGCCAAAGAGGGAATTACTGGTCCCAAAGAATCAAAGGATAATATTAGTGAGATAGCAAAGTACTGCATAATAGATGCCAAGCGATGTCAGGAATTAATGATTAAGTTTAATGTAATCAATTCATATTGAAAAATGTCAAGCATATCTTATGTATCGATATTTGATTCTTATTGTTATGCTAGAGGCATCAAAGTATGCAATTTACTTGGTGTAGTTGCGTGAAGGATGAATATCTTAATTAATATGATTCGCGATGAAAATGTGGAGGATGGAAAATATCCAAATGCTTACGTGTATGAACCGAATAAAGGATTAAATGTTAGAAGGCCAGTTACCGGATTAGATTTTGCTTCATTGTATCCAAGTCTTATGATGACATATAATTTATCACCCGAAAAAATGATTGTAAGTGAGATCAAGCGTGATAGATATGCATTGATGGGATATAAATTTCATAAGATTCATTTCACATTTAATGGAAGAGGTATCGAGGCATGGTCTGTAAGGCATGAGAATGAAGAAGAACATATGGGATTATATGTGATTGTTCAAAAATACCTGAAAGATAAATGCTGTAAGATAAAGTTAAAGATAGAAAAGTTTGGTATAATTTTGGAGAAAAAAAGATTGAATAATGAATGTGATGAAGAATATAAGAATCTCAAATTTCAATACGATCAGGTGAATCTTAAACAATTAGCATTTAAGGTCTATATGAATAGTTTTTATGGAGAAGCTGGTAATCCATTATCACTATTCTTTATGCGTGAATTAGCTAGTGCTGTAACATCATTTGGGCAATATAATATCAAGATGATTTCAAATTATGTACAAGGATTAGGATTTAAGGTTCAGTATGGAGATACAGATTCATTATATCTTACTTGTCCCGATACATATTACAAAGAACAGGATATAAGATATCAATCAAAAGAATGTGGAAAAGAGAAATATTGGACAGGGATGGTTGAGACTACGATGAACGTGATGAATAATCTTCGTGAAAAGGTCAATGAATACTTGTATCATGATAATGAAACCCAGTTTCTTAATATGGCATATGAAGAGGTTCTCTTTCCTGTGATGTTTACTGGTAAAAAAAATATTTTGGTATTGAACATATTAATATGATCAATTTTCGACCAAAAAAATTGTTTATTCGAGGAATTGATATTGTGAAGAAAGGGAAATCCAAATATTACAAGGATATATGTGAAAAAGTGATGATGAAAATTATGGATATTGATAATGAAAAAGATGCCCTCGAGACTGTGAGATTAATGATTGAATGGTATATGAAGAATAGACACGATGACGTAAGCGTATTTGCATTATCTGCAACATATCGACCTATGAAACAGAATATATCAGTAAAAGAATTCGTGAACTGCATGGAAAAAAGAGGAATAAAAATTGAGCCAGGTGAACAATTCAATTATTATGTTATTCGACATCCCGATCAAAAAATCAGAAAATGATTCTCGTAAAATATTTTGATAGTAAAAGGATGAAAATTGATATGAAATATTATATCTATACTCTTGTGGGAACATTTGCATGCTTTATCAATTATCATGAACAATTTCAGATAGATGATGGTGACTATAAAACAAGAGATGAAATGGCACAAAAAAATGCGAAAAAATATTTAAAAAATTATATTATGATGATTGATAATCAAATAACAAATTATGATATTCGTCAATATCTAATTCCAGCACCAACTAAAAAAATAATTCAAGAACGAGTAAAAGAGGATGGTGATAAGCATCAAAGCAAACGTGTAAAACCTGAAATTACAAACACGTGTGGCATGAATGTCCACACGTGATATTCATCAAATATAATATGTAAAATTTTTGAGATAATTAATTTTATTAGATATTATATAATCACATTTTTATGTGTATGTGTGAAATAAATTACTAATTGTAAGATTGACAGATGTACTATTTGGTATAATGTTGAAACAATCCTCACAGAGATTGTGAGAATGAATATGTTCGTATCCCCTAAATGTAAATGTGCTATGATTGCTAATTGCACCATGTCAACATGTCGATATTTCACAGCAGTTATTTAGAACGCAACAATTTTTACATTGTTGCAATATTCTACATCTATCACAACGTGATTTGAACATATTATCAAATTGACGTTTGGTGACACAATATATATGAGCTTTTGAACTTGGACTTGTACAATATGGAGAACCTCCTTTTTGGGATTGAGATTTGGTGGTATACTTAATCATTCTTTTACGTGGTTTGTGAATCTTGTTACATTGTTTATTACTTGATTTACAATCGTGACATCTTGAATGCCTTTTGTGAAATGTAACTATGTCTTTTTTTTGTTTGGCTGTACCAACATCGCGATCAAATTTTGTAATTTTGAAGATTTCCGTAGTTCGTGTGGCTGTATAGTAATGAAAAAAAATAATCTTGGGGGCCTTAATTTTCATGAAAAACTCACGATGTCTGCGATTTGTGAGACCGAGATTTATTTGATCCTCAAATGAATTAAGAGATTCAAATATAATTGCAATTAATTCATTTGGGAGAGTTAAAAAACTCATCTTCATAAGAAAAAAATTCGAATCGTGGGAATTTAAATAGATTTTTTGTTAGGTAAAAT